TCATTGAGAGTAATTTTGTAGGTCCTTTATTCTTATCATTCTGAATTATTCAGTTAGATAAGAATCACATAAGTTGATAGAGAATTATGACAAGTTCATATTAACACTTATTTACGCCTTTTTTACTTGCTGCTTTATGATTAATTGAGCGGTATCTACCTAATATAGGTGTAAATTGGGAGGCTGTGATGCCCTGGTCCAGTCCACTTAAGGCGATGATGATGGCCTTCGGCCCAATTACTAATTACCTATCAGCTGAATGGAAGCCTAGCTTCTGACCCAGCCCAATACTCAGCCCAGCCTTCTAGTAAATAACTCTGGCCATTGGATGAAGGGTTGCCAATCTCAATGCACAGATATTTCTTGGTTTTATTCATTCATACGGTTTTCTGTGATTGAGAGTGTGTTCTAGAGTATTCTTTTCTCTCTGTGTCTCTTTCCTCTTCTTTTCCGTGAAGAGTCTTTGAATTCGTTTCTTAGAGGGTTATTCTTTGTGAATCAAGTGAAAGAATTTGTGTTGAGATTCTGGTAACTAGTAGTCCTTCTGGTTCATAGAAGTTGCTACTTGTTTGGCCAGTGGTTGTGAGGGTGATCTTATGGTGGTTGTATTCTGAGCCTTTCGATCTGTGATATCTTTGATGTTCAGTGGTTATTTCCATAGTTTCATGTATTATGGTGATTTCGGATGTAATAGGTCTCTTTGATCTTTATTCTTGGGTCTGTAATTTGTATAACAGTGGTATCAGAGCCATTGGTGGCTGTTCTTGGGACTTCGATCGCGATTTGGGGTCTGGAAAATTAATTTTCAGCCTTCAAATCATAGATCTCCTGAAAGTCTGAAAACCCTAGTTCTTGATCCTTCGATTCTTGAAGGTTTTGGTGTGCACTGGTTTTAGTACTGTTACTGGTGGGGCCTGTGGGTGCATGTGTTCCTGATTCTGGTTCGATTGATTGATTCAATGTGTTGGGGCTTTTCGGTTGAACCCCTTTCTTTTGATTCCTTCGTGGTCCTTGGTGGAACACCATCCTTGCTGTGAACTCAGTGTTCTTTCTATTGTACTGAAACTGTGGTTGTGGTAACTATTCATTAGTGATGAAGGCAAAATAATAATTTCATTTAATTTCGGATTTGTTTGTTTTTGGCGAATTGCTAGTCTAATTTGATTTGAAATGAGCCAATGATCACAACTCAGGGCC